AGTTCCTTTCGAAAAGGACCAAAACCAAACCAGCAGGATCTAGCACGCCAAGCACCCCTGTGGCAAGACCAAAGGGGGCGGCGGATCGAAGACGCCTATGGCGAATCACCGCCGCCCTCTGCCTTCTAAAATCGCCCGTGTGGCCGAGCGTTGTGGCAGGAGCTCTGCCAAGCTATCGGACCACGTGTTCCCCCAGCCGTTGTGGAAACCCTTCGGGGAACACCAAGGGGAGGATGGCAGGATATGTCAAGCAAAATATAAGAGGAGGAGGTTCGAGGAGGAGGTGGAGGAGGGGAAGGAGGAGGAGAAGGAGGAGGAGAAGGAGGAGCATGGGGCATCTTGGGAGCCTCTGGGGACACCCTTTGGGGCCTCCTGGGAGCTTCCTGGGAGCCTCTTGGAGGCATCTTGGGGGCCCTCTTGGAGGCCTCTTGAGGACCTTCGGGGGCTTCTCGGGATCCTCTTTGGCCGTCTTGGTGGGCTCCTGGCCCGTCTGACGCCGTCGGAAGCCGTTTTGGGGGCCTCTCTGGGCCGACTTGGGGCCCTCTTGGGGTGCTCCAGCTCCAGGGCAGTCTTGGAAGCCATCTTGGGCGTATTTGAGGCCTCTCGGGCCATCTTGGGACCCTTTTGGGCTCGTCTTGGGAGCGTTTTCGGCCGTTCTGGGGCCATCCTGGAGGCCTCTTGGGCGACCTTGGGGCGATCTTTGGGGGCTCTTGGGCCATCTCGGGCCGTCGGTCGGCCGAAAAGAAGCAAATGCCAAAATCCTTCAAACACCAGAGGGGAATCCATGATTTGGGCCTCTTCGGGCCTTCCTGGAGGCCGTCCTGCGCCCTCTTGGAGGCCTCTTGGGCCGACTTGGGCCATCTTGGGGCCATCTTCGGCCGTCTTGGTGGGCTCCTGGCCCGTCCGACGCCGTCGGAAGCCGTTTGGGGGACCTCTTGGGCCGACGTGGGGCCATTTTGGTTGCTCCAGGGCCGTCTTGGAAGCTTTCTTGGGCGCGTTAGAGGCCTCTTGGACTGCCTTTGGGCCGTCTTGGGGGCCTCTTGGGCAGTTCTGAGGCCATCTTGGAGACCTTTTGGGCGATCTTGGGGCGATCTTGGGTGCCTCTTGGGCCATCTCGGGCCGTCGGTCGGCCGAAAAGGAGAAAATGCAAAAGCTTAAACCCTCAGGAAAATGAATGATGTTGGCCTCTTCGGGCCTTCCTGGAGGCCCTCTTGAAGGCCTCTTGGGCCGTCTTGGTGAGCTCCTGGCCCGTCTGACGCCGTCGGAAGACATCTTGAGGGGGCCGCTCTGGGCAGACGTGGGGCCCTCTTGGGGTGCTCCAAGGCAGTCTTGGAGGCTTCCCTGAGCGTCTCAGAGGCCTCCTGGGCCGTCTTGGGGGCCCTCTTGGGGCCGTCTTGGGGACCTCTTGGGCAGTCCTGAGGCCATCTTGGAGGCCTCGTGGGCGATCTTGGGTGCCTCTTGGGCCGTCGAAGGCCGAAAAGGTGCAAATGCCAGAATCTTGAGAAAAAAAAAAACATAGGAACATCAATGATTTGGGCCTCCTCGGGTCCTCCTGGAGGACCTCTCGAAGGCCTCTTGGGCCGTGTTGGAGGCGTCTTTGGCGCCTCTTGGGCAGTCTTGGACTGTCTTGGTGGCTTTTTGGGCGGACTTGGAGGCATCTTGGACCCTCTTGGGCCGTCTTGGAGGCCATCTTGGACCATCTTAGGCGGACTTGGAGGCCATCTTGGCCGTCTTAGAGGCATCTTGGAGTCCATGTGGGGCCATCTCTGGCGTGAACGGCATTGACATGTGCAGTTTCCTGTGGGCTGGCGCGCTCCGAAGCCCCAGGGGGAGGTCTAAAAGAACCACAACCGAAAGGGTTCAGCACGCTGGGCATCCTTGTGGCAAGCCAACAGGGGGCGGCGGATCGAAGACGCCTACGGCGAATCACCGCCGCCCCCTGCCTTTTTGGAAGCGCCTATGTGGCCGAACGTTGAGGCAAGACCTGCCAAGCTATCGGACCATGTGTTCCCCGAATCGGCTTGGAAAGCCTTCGGGGAACACGTGGGCATCTTGAAGGTCATCTTGGCCGTCGGGAGGCCATTTTGACCCTCTCGGGCCTTCTTGGAGGACGTCTTGGAAGGCTCTTGAGCCGTCTTGGAGGCCGTCTTTTCTTGGGCCGTCTTGGGGGCCTCTTGGGGCCGTGTCTTGGGCCTATTGGGCGATCTTTGGGGGCACTTGGGTCGTCTCTGGCCGTCGGAAGGCCGAACGAAAAGCAAATGCCACAATCCTTTAAAAACTAATGGGGAATCCATGACTTTGGCCTTTTCGGGCCTCCTGGAGGCCCTCTTGGAGGCCTCTTGGGCCGACTTGGGCCATCTTGGGGCCATCTTCGGCCGTCTTGGTGGGCTCCTGGCCCGTCCGACGCCGTCGGAAGCCGTTTGGGGGGCCTCTCTGGGCCGACTTGGGGCTTTCTTGGAATGCTCCAGGGCAGTCTTGGAAGCCATCTTGGGCGTCTTAAAGGCCTCCTGGGCCGTCTTGGAGGCCTCTTGGGGCCGTCCTGGGGACCTCTTGGGCCGTCCTGGGCCCATCTTGGAGGCCTCGTGGGCGATCTTTGGGTGCTCTTTGGCCGTCTCTGGCCGTCGGAAGGCCGAAAAGAAGCAGATGTCAAACTTCTTCAAAAACCTTAAGAATATACATGTGTTTGGCCTTTTCGGGCCTTCATTGAGGCCCTCTTGAAGGCCTCTTGGGCCGTCTTGGGCCGTCTTAGGGCCATCTTCGGCCGTCTTGGTGGGCTCTTGGCCCGTCCGATGCCGTCGGAAGCCGTTTGGGAGCCCTCTATAGGCCGACTTGTGGCCCTCTTGGAATGCTCCAGGGCAGTCTTTGAGGCCATCTTGGGTGTCTTCAAGGCCTCCTGGGCCGTCTTGGGGGCCTCTTGTCAAGCAGTGGCGAAGCGTCCCGGCGTGCCTATATCCCTAGCAAACAATGTTCTAAGAACCTTTTTTTGGTTTTCACGGAATGTTCTTAGAACATGTCTGGCGGAGTCTGTCTTGTTTGAACACATCGGGTTTATGTTATAAGAACGGTGTTTTTGTTCTTAGAACATTTTGGGGTTCTAAGAACATTTCGTGGTATGACTATAGGAATGCCGGGACGGTCGTTCCCTGCTCAATCTTGGGGCCGTCTTGGAGGCCTCTTGGGCCGTCATAGGGCCCTCTTGGAGGCCTCGTGGGCGATCTTGGCGGCCTCTTGGGCCGTCTTGAGCCGTCGGAATGCCGAGAAGAGGCAAATGCCAAAATCCTTCAAAAACCTAAGGAACATCAATGATGTTGGCCTCTTCAGGCCCTCCTGAAGGACACCTTCGAGACCTCTTGGGCCGTCTTAGAGGCCTCTTGGGTGAACTTGGAGGTATCTTGGACCCTCTTGGGCCGTCTTGGAGGCCATCTTGGGCGGACTTGGAGGCCATCTTGGACCATCTTGGGCGAGCTTGAGGGCCATCTTGACCGTCTTGGAGGCCATCTTGAGCCGTCTTGGAGAATTGTTTGTGGACGTTGAGGTCGTTTGCGCGCCTGGAGCTCCCTCCCAGGACCCCGGCGGGACGGCCGAAGCGCCAGGGGGAGTCCTTTTGGAAAAAGAACCAAAACCAAACTGTAAGACGTCCAGCACGCCAGGCACCCGTGCGATGAATCGACAGGGGGCGGCGGATCGAAGACGCCTACGGCGAATCACCGCCGCCCCCTGCCTTTTTGGAAGCGCCTATGTGGCCGAACGTTGAGGCCAGACCTGCCAAGCTATCGGACCATGTGTTCCCCGAATCGGTTTGGAAAGCCTTCGGGGAACACTGTGTTGGGGCCCTCCTAAGCACGGAGCCCGTCCCCGTGGCCCGCGCGACACACTGGGAGCGCCCAGTAGCGCCCCGGAGCGCCCAGGAAATTGGGGGTCTGGGCCCTCAAGGACCTCATAGACCCTTTACCTCAAAGGTCTGCATGAGACTCGGGGCACTCCACCTCGTGCAAGAGGCACGGTGGCGGATCAGATGTGGGGCAATATGTGAGGGGGAGTCTGGTGGTTCTGCTAGCAAATAGCTAAAAAAATGATGCCTCGCTTCACAACGGCAGCACAGAGCATCGCCGTGCATGCGGGACGACGCACTAGCCTCCAATAGGCACAAAGGGCCCCGCACATTGTCATGGGCCAAGCCAAGGGCGTGATGGGGCGCAACCGCCTTGGGGATACATTCTCAGGTCCGTAGGTCTCCCCATATCACTACAGTCGCCGAGCGGGGTAGAAATCGGAAAGCGCCACCGAAGCTTCCTAGTTCACACACGAGAGGCACCTCAGCAATGTAAGGTCGACTTGGATATTCTCATACTAAAAATTTCGTCTCTCGCAATGTTTGTTGACAGGGAAGATCTATTAAGTCGATTTGAACATGTTCATGTGCAACTGGTGTTCATGAGCAGTTCCAAGTCGACCTGAATATTTCCAGATCGGACCTGCAAATCATCATCCGGAGCGTTTCGCCCATGGGTTTATAATTGGAAAGGCCCGTTCAGGCCGACCTCGTAATTTCCAGGTCCAGCCGGATTGACATGTTCTGACGCATTGTTGCCCATCATTTCTCGCGGGTCGAGGCCGTAGCAGTCATCGAGCAATTGTCAGTTTGCGCTATGCTTTATGAGTAACCCCCGATCCAGTCAGCGTAGGGGGACAAGACGACACCGCCATCACCATCATCATCATCCACATGATCATCACAGTCATCCACCCGTACTTGCGGTATCTCCTCGCAGGCGACAAAGATAACAAAAAGGACCGAAGAAAGCGAAACCGATTTCTCGCGGGTGATAATGAGTTCGTGTGACGATGCTCCTCGATGTTTCCACGCGCAGGGCCTGATCTTTTCATGGCGCCGCCATCATCATTGCCATCACCGTCACCACAGCGTGCCCACAAGGCCTCTCTGCGGGCGACCAAGGGATAGGACGCATGAGAAGCACGACGCCGATTTTTCGCTGGCGATGAGGAAGTCGGGGACGCTCGAAACACGAAATGGATTTCCTGACGGCGCCCTCAGCCTCACAGCGGAAAAGTTCGCGCCGCCACCGCCACGGACGTGTGCTTTCGAAGTCGCGATGTTTCTCGTAGACGCGATATGTGTACATGTGTGCAGATTTATTCAGAACGTATGTATACATAAATCTGTACACATATGTATATGTATATGCACATCTGTCTAAACATACGTCTCGGCTCATATATATATATACATACATATATACATTACCCCGGCAACTGGGGTTCCGTATGCGCGCCGGTGCCGAAGACGCTATTTGAAGACGTTATTCCCTGTCACGACGCGTCCCTGTGAAGACGCTATTTCCTGTAACGACGCCATTCCCGGTGAAGACGGTGAAGACGATATTCCGGGTAAAGACTATTCTGGGTGAAGACGCTATTCCCAGTGAAGACGGTGAAGACGCTATATTTCTTGTGAAGACGCTATTCCGCGTGCAGACGCTATTCCCGGTGAAGAAGCGTTCTGCGGACACAGACAGCATGCACTTCCCTTATGAATACGCTATTCCCTCTGGAAACGCTGTCCCCGGTGAAGACGCTATCCGCTGAAAAGACGCTATTCCGGGTGAAGGCGCTATTCATTGTGAAGACGATATTCCGGGCGAAGACGCTATTCCATGTGAACACGCTGTTCCTTGTGAAGACGCTATTCCTGGTGAAGACGCGATTCCTTGTGAAGACGCTATTCTGGGTGAAGACGCTATTCCAGGTGAAGACGCTATTCCTTGTGAAGACGCTATTCTCTGTGAAGACGCTATTCCCGGTGAAGACGCTAATCCGGGTGAAGACGCTATATATTCCCGGTGAAGACGCTGTTCCCGGTGAAGACGCTATTCCCTAGACGCTATTCCGGGTGAAGACGCTATTCCTTGTGAAGACGCTATTCCATGTGAAAACGCTATTCCAGGTGAAGACGCTATTCCGGGTGAAGACGCTATTCCGGGTGAAGACGCTATTAACGCTACTCCGGGTGAAGACGCTATTCCCGGTGAAGACGCTATATTCCCGGTGAAGACGCTATTCCCGGTGAAGACGCCCTTCCGTGTGAAAATGCTCCTTCTCTTCACCATGCTCAGTATTCAACGTGCTCCCCTTCCAATTATTTTGAAAGTGCCATTTTACTCCACGCTTTCCGTGCCTAACACAACGCGTGCCCCATCTGTTGTGTGACATCCTCTGCTAGGCAAGACCCCTCCCCAAGTTGATAAAAAAATGAATCGCTAGACATGCCCCATCTGCTGTGCAACACCCTCCTCTGGGCAAGACCCCTAGGACCCCTCCCCATGTTGATTGAATGAGAATCCTTGATGCTTGACGTGCCTCGTCTGCTGTGCGGCACCCTCTGCTAGGCAGGAGCCTTCCCCAAGTTGATAAAACAAACCCTTGATGTTAGACGTGCCCCGTGTGCTGCGCGGCGCCCTCTGCTAGGCAAGACCCCTCCCCAAGTTGATTAAAACAAGAATCCTTGGTGATAGCTGTGCCCCTTTGCTGTGTGGCACCCTCTGCTAGCCAAGACCCACCCCCAATTTGATATATATATATATATATATATAAAATGTATCCTTGGTGCTCGACGTGCCCCGTCTGCTCTGTGGCATCTTCTGGCAGGCAATGGCCCTCCCCAAGTTGCTTTAAAAAGAATCCTTGGTGCTAGACGTGCCCCATCTGCTGTGCGGCACCCTTTGCTAGGCAAGACCCCTCCCCAAGTTGACTTAATAAGAATCCTAGACGTGTCCCATCTGCTGTGTGGCACCCTTTGTTGGGCAATGGCCCTCCCCAAGTTGGATAAAAAACCTTGGTGCTTGACGTGCCCCATCTGCTGAACGGCACCTTCTGCTAGGCAAGACCCATTCCCCAAGTTAGTTAAAGCAGAATCCCTGGTGCTAAACATGCCCCATCTGCTTTGTGGCACCCTTTGTTAAGCAATGGCCCTCCCCAAGTTGATTCCAAACAAAAAAAGAATCATTTGTGCTAGGCGTGCCCCATCTGTTGTGCGGCACCTTCTGCTCGACAAGACCTCTCCCCAAGTTGATGGAACAAGAATAGTTGGTGCTAGGCGTGCCCCATCTGTTGTGCGGCACCTTCTGCTAGGCAAGACCCCTCCCCAAGTTGATGAAAAAAGAATCCTTGGTGCTAGATGTGCCTCTTTGCTGTGCGGCACCCTCTCCAAGGTGAGCACCTTTGTTGCGCGGCACCTTCTGCTAGGCAAGACCCCTCCCCAAGTTAATCAGAACAGAATTCCTGGTGCTAGACATGCCTTTTGCTGTGTGGCACCCTATGCTAGGCAAGACCCCTCGCCAAGTTGATTAAAAAAGAATCCTTGGTGCTAGACATGCCCCTTTGCTGTGTGGCACCCTCTGATAGGCAAGAGCTCTCCCCAAGTTCATTGAAACAGAACCATTAAAAAAGAAAGCCCGGTGAGCCCCTGGAGCCTCCTGGGGCCTCCTGGAGCTCACCAGGGCTTCCTGGGGCCTCCTGGTGCTTTCTGGGGCTGTCTTGGCCCCTCCCGGTGCCTCCTGGAGCTGTCTTGGCCCTCTTTTGGAGCGCGAATCCTTTGTGTTAAACGTATGTGCCAATATGGTCTTCTCTTGGGGCGCGAGTCCATTGTGTTTCACGCATGTGCCTATAGATTGGCCTACTCTTGGGGCGCGAATGTTTAGTGTTTTTTTTACGCGCGTGCTTAAAATTGGCCGCATCATGAAACGCGAATCCTTAGCGTGTTGCGTGATGCCTAGAGATGTGCCTTTTTCTGGGGCGCGAATTTGTTTTACGTTTTACACATGTGCGTATAGGTTGGCCCTCTCCTGGGGCACGAGTCTTTTGTGTTTCGCGCGTGTGCCTTTAGATTGGCCTTTTCCAGGGGCGCGAATATTTCGTGTGTTGCGCATTTGCTTATACATTTGCCTTCCCCTGGGGCACGAGCCCTGCGTGTTTTACGTATGCGCCTATGGATTTGCCCTCTCCTGGGGCACGAACCCTTCGTACTTTACGCATGTGCATATATATATATATATATATATATATATATATATATATATTCACTCTCTCCTGGAGCACGAATCTTTCGTGTCTTACGTGTGTGCTTCGCCTGGGGCACGAATCCTTTTGTGTTTAACGTATGTGCCAATAGATCGGCCTTCTCTTGGAACACCAATACTTTTAGTGTTTTACGTATGTGCCTGCAGATTGACCCTCTCCTAGGGCGCGAATCTTTCGTTCTTCACGTGCGTGCTGATAGAGTGGTCGTATCATGGGGGGCGAATCCTTAGCGTGATTGGCCCTCTCCTGGGGCACGATCCCTTTTCCAGGGGCGCGAATTTTTCGCGTTTTACGTAATTGCTTATAGACTTGCCCTCCCCTGGGGCACGAACCTTGCGAAGCGTCACGAGCTTCACCGGGCGTCAGGGGAATAGAGGCTTCAGGCCGAATAGAGGCTTCACGAGCTTCACCAGGCGTCGGGGGAATAGAGGCTTCAGGCCGAGTAGAGATTTCACGAGCTTCACCGGGCGCCAGGGGAATAGAGGCTTCGCTTCAGGCCGAATAGAGGCTTCACGAGCTTCAACGGGCGTCAAGGGAATAGAGGCTTCAGGCCGAATAGAGGCGTCACGAGCGTCACCGGGCGCCAGAGGAAGAGAGGATTCAGGCCGAACAGAGGCTCCACGAGCTTCACCGGGCGCCAGTGGAATAGAGGCTTCAGGCCGAATAGAGGCTTCACGAGCTTCAATGGGCATCAGGGAAATAGAGGCTTCAGAACGAATAGGGGCTTCACGAGCTTCACCGGGCGTGAGGGGAATAGAGGCCTCAGGCCGAATAGAGGGTTCACGAGCTTCAACGGGCGCCAGGGGAATAGAGGCTTCAGGCCGAATATAAGTTTCACGAGCATCACCGGGCGTCAGGGGAATAGAGGCTTCACGAGCTTCAATGGGCGTCAGGGGAATAAAGGGTTCAGGCCGAATAGAGGCTTCACGAGCTTCACCGGAAGTCAGGGGAATAGAGGTTTCAGTCCGAATAGAGGCTTCACGAGCTTCACCTGGCGCCAGGGGAATAGAGGCTTCAGGCCAAATAGAGGCTTCACGAGCTTCACCGGGCGTCAGGGGAAGAATGGGTTCAGGCCGAATAGGCGCGTTTAGGGTCGCTACCCCCACCAGTGCGTCGCAATTCGTAGGCCGAATAGAGGCGGCACGAGCCGAATAGAGGCTTCAGGCCGAAGAGAGGCTTCAGGCCGAATAGAGGCTTCACGAGCTTCAATGGGCGTCAGGGGAATAGAGGCTTCAGGCCGAATAGAGGCGTCACGAGCTTCAGCAGGCGTCAGCGGAATAGAGGCGTCACCGCAGCTCCTTGGGGGAGTAGCGTCTTCAAATAGCGTCTTCGGCGCCGGCTCGAACTGGGAACCCCCCGGGCCAGGCCCCTGTATATAATATATATATATAATATATATATATATATATATATATATATACATATGTGTGCATATTTGTGACGGCCTTCTGGCCCCTGCCGCCGACCCTGAAGGATGGGCCCTCCCCCCAGGACCCTATTCGATTCAACTACGAAGTTCCTTTATTTATTGCCCCATTTTCTTTGTGACTGTCGACGACCCACAGCGACGAGGAGAAGACAGCGTCTTCCACAAGCCGAAGGGTCGGCGGATTGACAGATGCGTGCAATTCATTGTGGGCATGCGCGCGCGGCCACCTCCCAGATTCGAGCAAACATCCCATTCACCCACGCGCAACGTGTTGAAAAAACTCATACGACCGTAAGTGCAGCTACCTATCGGAAGTTTGTTCGCAAACATCTGCGAGCGCAAGTCGCGGACCTTGTTCAAGCAGGCCCCTGCCTCGGGTGGTTGAGGATGGTGACGACGACATCGGCGACGATGACTTTGATTACGATGATATTGGTGGTGGTGGCAGTGATGACCAGGGCGACGACAACGACGATGCCGATGACGATGTTGATCATGGTTGTGATCGTGGCGGCGACAACGACGGCGATGGTGATGATGATGATGGTGGTGATGATGACGATGATGATGAGGAGGAGGAGTAGGATGACGATGAGGGTAGCAATGTTGACGCTAGCGATGATGATGGTCATGGTGTTGATGAGGATGTTTGAGGACTTGCTTGCGTGTCAAGTTTGGCATGATTAGTATAGGCAAACAAGTTGGCTGTCGTACGTGCTTAAGTTCTTGCACTTGGAGATGCATGTAAACACACATGGTTTGAGAAGTGTTTCGACGTGCGCGCGCGCGCGGGGACGCTTGCGTGTGGCCCGCTTGGCATTGTTGGACAGAGTTCACGGGTGCGCGCGATGATTGCTGAATGATCTCGGCATTCGCGCGCGCGGGGCCCACACGGTCTCCCTTGACGGAGTGACTACAGACGGACATCTCTCTTACGGTTTCAGCGATATGCGTGCACACAGAAGCCTCTGTTGCATGTGAGCCAGTAATCCGGTTTGATCGGGTTTGCTTGACATTGTTTGTGCACCATGCTTCGAGATAAGGAGTTCTACATTGAGCGTTCGTATGGCCCGAATGCTGTTACTTGATACGGGTTCTTCTGAAACGCCTTCTCCTCGATGGTCGTCGACAGCTGCTTCCAAGAGTTGCATGCTCAGCTAATGTTGACCACGCGTCGGTCGGCAATGCAGCTTCCAGCGGTTCCAGCGCGCCCCCGTGGGGGGTAGCTAGGGCCTCCTCCGCCGACTCATGGGGCCGTATCCCAGCGGGGTCTCCCTGTGACGAGGCCGCGCTCATCGGCCGCAGAGCTAAGCATGCGGCTGCCTCAGGCTCTGCGAAGCTCAGCTGCAGTCGTTCCAGTCACCTTTGGGAGCAGTTGGCGAGGCAGGGCGAATGCCAGGCCCTTGCGTCCGCCTTGCACGGGGAGGCAAGCCAGCGTGGCTACTGAGACACGGACAGCCTCCACCTGGACCAGCCCAGATGACCAGCTGTCCTCCTCTTCCGCCGCCTTCTCCTGGTCTTACGCATTGTCCTCATCCCATCCCCATCTTTCTCCCCCTGTTCGTCCTTCCCTTTGTCCTCACTCCACCCCCCCAGGCCATCAACGCTGTCACCGTGGGGTCGATGACGTTCGTCGACATATTCCACCGCCCAGAGCTGAGCAGGTCGGCGCTCTAGCCGGGCACTTGGTCAGCCGCTTGGGTTCGACGCTTGTCCACGATCGGGTCGACGCGTGTGCTGAGCGGTTGGCGCCAGCGCCAGGCGTTTGGCGCCGGGGGTGCAAGCGTGCTCTGCAATCGATGGGTACCGTGTCAGGCGTCATGGCGCGGAGGAGGCTTCACAAGGCCGGTGATCCAGTGAACCGCCTCCCCTTGCTCACCCTTTGTTGGACGAGGCGCGCTTCCACAAGTTGGTAAAATTCTTTGGTGGTAGACGTACCCCTCTGCTGTGCATCATCACCCTCTGCTCGAGGAGGCCCCTTCCCAAGTTGATTAGCCAAGAGTTGTCGGTGCTAGACGTGCCCCTCTGCTGTGCATCACCTTCTGCTAGGCGAGGCCCCTCCCCAGGTTGATGGAAAGCGACTCCCTTGTGCTAGACGTACCCCTCAATTGGGCACTACTCTCTGCTGGACGAGGCCCCTCCCCAAGTTGATTCCACAAGATCTGTTGGTGCCAGACGTGCCCCTCTGCTGTGCATCAGCCTCAGCTGGACGAGGCGCCTCCACCAGTTGATGGAATCAGTCCTTGGTACTAGACGTGCCCCTCTGCTGTGCATCACCCGCTGCTGGACGAGGCCCCGCCCCAAGTCGATGAACCAAGAGTTTTCGGTGCCAGGCGTGCCCCCTCTGCTGTGCGTCGCCCGCTGCTGGACGAGGCCCCTTCCCATGCTGTGCTCGACGTGCCCCTCTGCCGTGCATCGTCCTCTGCGGGGTCTGAAAATCCGCGGGTGCTCGGTTTTTGTAGGGCCCTCGGGCCTTGGCGTCACAGTGCCTACGGATCTTCACGGGCCCTGGCTCTTCAAGGCCTCAGAGGTTCTGTGGGTCTTGGGCCCTGTGCGTCTCAGGGTCTGGGGGCCGTTTCTTAGGCCGCGGGGCGCCAGGGTCCTCGGGATTTAGGGTCTTCGGGCCCTCATGTTCTGAGGCTTTCGGGTCCCGTGGCAACTGCGCCTTCATGCCTTAGGGCCTTCATGTCTCGAGGTCTTAGGCACCCCGAGGCCCAAGCCCGTCTGGTCCGAGGGTCGTAGGTTTCAGGGTCGCGGAGCATTCGGGCCCCCAGGTCCTAGAGCCCTTGGGTCTTAGGGTCTGCTGATCCTTGGGTCTTCGCGCCCCTGTGATGTAGCGTCTTGGGACCTTCGGGCCCTGGAGTCTCGGGGTCTTCGGGACAGCGTGTCTTTGGGGTTTTAGGTCCGTAGGGTCCTTGGGCCCTGCGATCTTTCCGTTTCATCGTCGCGGGGGGTCAAATTAACGTCTCGGGGTTCAAGCGCCAGTTTTGAGTGCGCTCGATTCTTTGGGGTCGGGGTTCCTGGCTTGCAGGGTCCAGGGTTCAGAGCTCGGGGATGAAGTTCAAGGGTCCACTTCCGAGCATTCCGTGCTCTGGTGACCTGGTGAACCAGGGATCTGGTGATCGGGTGATCCCGTGATCCGATGGCCCGCTGATCCGCGATCCGGAGACGTGTTCTCGAGGCGGCGACACAGAAATCCGGTGATCTAGAGATGACGCGGTGACCTGGCCATCCGGTGACCCAGTCATCTGGCAATATGCAGTGACTTGGTGATTTTGAGAACCTGCGATCAGGTGATCCGGTGATTTGGTGAACTTCCGATCTGGTGATCTGGTGATGCGGTGATCCAGTGATCGGGTGATCCGGGGTGATCTGCGGATCTGCAGATCCGGAATTGTGGTGATTTGGTGATCCGGTGATTTGGTGATCTGGTGATCCGGTGATTTAATCATCCAGTGATTTGGGTTAGTTGAGGTTCTGGTAATCTGGTCATCCGGCGATCCAGTGATCCAGCGATCCAGTCATACAGCCCACCCCGGACCTCCTTTGTAAAGCCTGCTCTCTAATTGCAGGTTTCCAGATCTTCTCTGTGTAATTACGTAAACACTCTGGATTGCATGACATGCGCTCGTCGTTCCCATATTTCTCGCTCCTCCTCCTCCTCCTCTTCCTCCTCCTCCTCCTCCTGCTCCTCCGCCTCCTCATCCGCTGGTACTTCTGCGGGTGTTTTCGACTGTCAGTTTGGAGTTCGAGGCCTCTTGCTCGGACTCCTTCGAATCTCACCGTGCCACGGGACCCTCAAAAGGGTGCCTCGGGCAGACTTGCGGTTGCGTACGTGTTGCGAGCAGCCGCCGCTTCGTCTTACTCACCATTCACCGAGCGCGTTCCACTAACTAGTTACTCGAAAAGTGCCTACTCGCAACCGTCCGACAAACGCATGCTTTCCTCGATGTCATGGATCGCATTTCACCATTCAACGAGCGAGTAGTTACTCTGCGAGTCGTGGAACGCGTTTGCCGAACCATCCCCACCCAGTCTGCCCTTTCTTCGCGCCTTTCATCCCTGTCCCTCCCCCTCCTCCTCCTCATCCTTCTCCTCCTGCTCCTCCTCCTCCTCCTCCTCCGCCTCAGGTTGGAAGGGGGGAAGGAGTACATTGTGCCCTGGATGGGAGAGGCAATAGATGCCCACGACGCCCCCCAAAACGCGTCCAGAGGTGGTCCTTCGTCGGCGGCCGCTGAGTGCAGGCGTGGCAGCCGCGAGTATTCTGCATCTCGGATGAAAAGGTATGCAGTCTGCCAGCTGTATGTTGGGGGACCTCCCCGATGCGGTCCAGAGCGGCTCATGTGTCTCGGAGACCTAAGCCGGGCAGGTCCCTCTACAGGAGGAATATTCAAGAATGGTAGAAGAAATAGTCTGGTGACAATGTTTCTTGCTCTTTTGACCATGTTTGCTCCTTGTTGACTATGTTTTATGTTTTTCCCAAATACGCATGTAGGAGGACATGCCCGACTTAATCGTAGACAGCGATCGCCGTGTGCTAGGTTCGTATGGTGAGGGGGGTGAGAGGAGAGAGAGGAAAGAGAAAGAGAAAGAGAGAGAGGGAGAGAGAGAGCGAGAGTAATCAGGCTGTAAGGCTTTCGACATGTGGAGTCCTACGAAAACCTCTCGGGAACCAGGCCTGACTGAGAGGGCCACGACCCCGATCGAAATCTCACCTCCCCACACCCAGGCCCTGACCTCTCGACCCCCGCCCGAGGCTTTTTTTGCTTGCGTCCTGCTCTGTCTCCGACGGCCCTGGAGACCGAAACAGGGCCTCCAGAGACCAAATGTTTGAGCAGCACGGTAAGCATTGAACGAATCTCACCGACATCGGACGTCTCGGCGGGAGTTGCTTTTGCGGGCGCCGTCGCATCACACGGGCTGGACGAAAGGGGGGGATTGGGAAAGGGGGGGGTACGGAATTTGTTGCATGCAGCTGGATTCGGCCTCACCGAGGGGCACATTCCTCGATACATAGCCGCCTCCGGCGCCTGGAGGTGCAGGGAAAATCAGCTAAGTGAGCTGATTCTCAAACCTCCCCTTTGCTATCCCCCCCTTTCGCCCGACCCGAGTCACACTCCCACATGTTGGGGGCTGATATGGGCACCAGTGCGTCCTAGCGACCTCGACGTCGCCTGCGCTCTGGCCCCCGTGTCGACCAGCGGCTTTGCGACACTGGCACTGGTGGGACAGCAAGGGGCCACAAGCTCTGTGATCCCTCAGATCCTCAGTTTCCTTTCCCTCATGCCCTACCCAGCAGGATTCGGTTGTCGAGCCTTGCCTCCTCAAATTGCGGTCGGGATGTCAGGATGCGGGATCTGGCCTGGTTGGTCTGGGGTTGTGACTTTGGTGTTCGGGTTACCGCGTGGGTGTTTGGGTTAGCTTGTGGTTGTCGCATTGGCATGAGCTGTAGGTTTGCGATTGCCGTTCGCATGAGCCCATGTGCTAGTCTCTAGCAGGCCATCTTGGTTTATCTCCGTGGCCTGCCGTACCTCAGCGTGGCCTAGCTGAGATCAGCCACGCCTGGGTCACCCTGGACCTCGCTTTCGAATCAGCCCTTGTCTCAGCATGTGTTTTGGAGCCAGCTTTAGACACTGTACCTCAGCCACGCTATTTCGATTGCAGTAACCACGCACCCACACCTCGCATCGTCTCTTGCTGCAGTTTTCCCACAGATGGTCGCACGTGGTTACGTGCATGTGTTTGTTTAAGTGGATTCCCTTGAGGGGGCAGACACCGCCGCCCCACCTTGTTGTTGGATCGTGGATTTCTGAGGGGCGGAAGTGGAGACTTCGGGAGGGCGGGTGGAGGAACAGGAGGCCAATTGAAATGATCCCCGAGGGCGAGAGGGGGTGCAAGATGGCCCCAGAGGGTTTCCCAGAACGCGACACAATCCCAGAGGGCAAAAGGGAGGCGGAAGATGGGCCCAGAGGGCTTGCGAAGACGCCATACAATTGCCGAAGAGGGCTCCGAAAAGCTGCACAAACGGGCCACAAGAGCAGCCACCGAGGAGGCAGAAAAGGCATTGCCACTTAGTTCTGGGGCCTCCCAAGGGCTTCCAGGGACCCCCTGGGCGCGCCCCAGACTGTTCACGACAGCACCAACATGGAGCCCAGACTGGCGCAGAGGGCCCCAAAAGGCAGTCAGGGCGGCCGCGCAGAGCATCCGCATGTTCCAAGATAGCCGCAGAAGCCCGCGGATATACATGGGATCTCCAAGAGAGGCGCCAGGAACAGCCCGATGAGGACAGAGTCGTTAGAATCCCCATGTGTTTTGCCATGTGTTTGTTGCGTGTTGGGGGGTTCTGGTGTGTGAGATCCGAAGAGAGATGGAGAGGTATCCGGGACGCCGTTGGCGGCCCGAAGGGGGGTCAAGATCAGCCCAGGAAGAGCCCCGAGGGGCCCCCCAAACAGGCCCAGTAGGCCCCTGGAGAGGGGTCTGAGAGGGCTGGTGGTGCTCGGAAGCCGAGCACGTGACAGGGGCGTCGTTTTGGGACGGAAGTGGTGGCAAGGAGGCGCCCCGACCGCAGCCTGGGCCCCCGGGCTGGCGGAATAAGCAGGCCGAGGGCAGGACCCCAGGAGGGGTTACCAGGGCTTTGAGGGAGGGGCACTGGTACTGAGGGGTGCGTGGGCAAGGGGCTGAGGGGAAAGAATCCGTGCAGACCATGCGGCGGGGATCTCACACACCGTACCAGGTGGGGCGGCGGATCGCTTCGCTCACTCCGCTGGCCCATCTTGTCTCGCCGCTGTCGTTTGTCTGTGTGTTGTTAATGCCTCCCAGCGGCACCGCGCTTTTTGCCGCCCCAGGGGCGAACGCCTGGCATGCTGACTTCCACGACTTCTCCTTCCTCGTCAATCGAGTGCGGATCGTCTTCCACGTCTTCACTGTTCGTCGATCCTGTAACAGAGTCGAAGACCTCAACTTTCTTTCCCTCCTGCACTGATGTGACTGAGATGATCAAATCTCTGCCTGGAAAGCTCAGCCTTTCGGGGGCCCCTGGGAGGCATTCGCGCGGCTGCCTGGTGCCTCTTGCGGACGTCTCGGCCTCTTAAGGGGCCTCTTGGGCGGCTCTCCTGGAAGCTTCGGAGGCCTTTTTGGGGGGGCGTCTTGGGCCCCCAATGAGGGGGGCCTCTCGGGCCTCGAGGACACTTCCTGGAGTCTTTTGGGAGCTCTTAGAGGCGTCGTGGGGGGCATCTTGGAGGCATCCCCGGGACATCTTGGAGGGCTCCAGGGGCCTCCTGGGACTCTTGAGGGCCTCTTGGGCTTTCTGGGGGCTTCTTAGGGGCATCTTGGGAGCATCTCGGGGCCCTCTTGGAATCTTCTTGGGTCGTCTTGGAGCGATCTTGGGTGCCCCTCGTGCCGCCTTGGACGCAAGTGCTAAACATCTTCGCTTTTTCATCGGCATGTATGAATGTGTGCTTGTTGGGGCCCTGTCGAGGGGCCTCTGAAGGCCCTCTTGGGCTCGTCTGGGACTAACGTGGGGCAAGGTTGAGGCATCTTGGCATTATGTTCGGGCCATCGTGAGGCCTGCCACCCACTGATGCGGACTCATAGGCCCTCTTTTAGCTCGCTTAGGGTCTCTTTGGGCGATCCTGGAGCGATATTAAGCGATCCTGGAGCGATATTACGGGCCCTAAAAATCGTCCTCAGGAGTTCCAGCATCCTTGAGCGGACCCCCAGGGGCCGCCCCGCGCGCGCGAACTAGAACCTATATATATATATATATATATATATACATATATGCATATATATATATATATATATATATATATATATGTGTATGTTCGTTCGTGCGTATGTGGAAGTCAAACTTGCATACATACCTACACACACAAACATGCATACACACATGCATAACATTAGACAAACATACTTACGAGCAACCATACACGCTCGTACACACAGACATACATGCATAAATGCATACGTATACATGTACGAACGCATGCCTATACATAGATACATACATACATACATACATACATACATACATACATACATACATACATACATACATACATATATAAATGCATACACACATACATACACACCTACATACATACATACATATCTACATGCATAAATGCATGCATACATATGCGCACGTATACATACATACATACCTACATACATACATACACATACATACATACACACATACATACATACATACATACGTGTCTACATAAATATGCGTGCATACACATACATATACACATACCTGCGTACATGTATACATACATATACACATGAATGTAAACATACATGTATACACACATGCATGCATAAAACCCACAGACAGGCGTACATGGTTACATACGTACATACATACATACATACATGCATGCATGCATGCATGCATACATACATACACACATCCATACATACACACGTACGTACATAGAGACGTGAATCAGTTGCCGGAGACCTTAGCACGTCCCTGGCCCGTTGGGCCAGCGAATTACGCGCGCATGGGCGGACGGCTGGCTGGAAGAATGTGCAGCTGATATCACACGTCCATGTCGCACCTTGGTTTCAGCATGCGGGTGGTGGCCGAAACATCGGTCTACTTTCACGAGGTCGGCGTTTCGAAGGAACGTGCTGATCAGCCAGAACTGGGGCCCTGGAGGGACCCAAGACCCTGACGTCCGCCCCTTCCGACCGCCGCCTGGCGTCGAACGTTTGTTCCGAGTCTTGTCCGCTGGCCTGCTTGGCCTCGCGGTGCCATGCTACTGTCGTTTTCTTATTCATTGTTTTGCCGATCTGCGCGCGCCCTCGCCCCCCCCCTCCCCCCCCCCATGGAGTAGATCTTGGCTGTTCTTGGCGCCTGTTTCAGGCAGGTGGGGTCCCCCTCACAGGACGCGCTGTTGCAAACAGTGGCGTTAAGCAGAGGTCCGGAGCCAGACCCCCCCGCTCGTCCGGGGTTTGGAAGGCCCACCTTGGGTTTATCGGGCGTCGGGTTCGCCTGCGCTTTTTGACGAGAACGTCTTGGGTTTTGACGGTCCCGTTTTCGTGGGATGCTTGCCGCGGGCGAGCGCGTCCAGTTTCAGATCGGGTCTCGTCAGCTTCCCGATGGCCCCGTCGGGCCCACCCACGTCCCCAATACAGTCGGGGCGCTGAAGAAGGAACCCTTTTTGTTGGTGAGGGGCTCCGTATTCTTTACCTGCTTGCCTCAGGTGCTCCTGAGGTTTTCCGTGGG